TATGTTCTGAATGTGATAAAATTTACAATTTTTTAAACTGTTTACGGAGGAGCCATATTTCTCTAGACTCTTACTTTTATGTGTAGTTAGTTACGCCTGATTATTTTAAACTTATACTTCGCTTGTTTACTTTTTTTTGCAGTACATTTTCGGATTGACGCATCGTCTCTTTTCATAACGAGTGGCATTTTCCCAAAGAGGGAGGAATAAGATTCTTAGTTCTTACTCCTCCGAGAAAAAACTTACCACAGAGATGGAGACTTTTTCTCCTTGAACGAAATGATGTATATTGTGAAATTTGTATGAGCAGTAAGCAGGTTGTGCTCATATTAAAAAGTAGCGTTCATGGTTTTAATTTTATTTTATTACCGACGTTGAACAGTTGAACCATTTCTGAGTTCGCGACCATCAATGTTCAGCTCGGTGGTTTTGTAATTTTGAACCCAATCCAGAAGAACTCCTGGCTCAAGCATTGGGATAAACTGGATTTTTAGAAGAACTTTTTGATATAACTAAACCATATTTGCGTTTCATGGAGTGGAAAAATATTCAGACTTAGCCCGAAGACAATGGGATTCCATCCCATGATCCGTCCATCACTGTTGTTAAAACTGTATCTTCAATGACTCATCAAAAAGATGGACTCTTTCCAATGAGCGAAGCTAATTTGGATTGCTAATCGATCCGAAAGAAACTGTTAAAGAATTTCTTCTCTACCACCTTAATATTTCAATTAATTCACTACTTCTTCACTGATATACCATAACTTATGATCCTATGATAAAGGATAATTCACTGATTCATTAAGTATCAAAATAGTCATTATTTAATTTATTTCTGTATTTATTTTCAGCTTACGATTTTTTCACTGGGCTTCTGAAGGAAGCAAACGGTTGTTTTGAAAATGTCCATTACGAAGGGTGCAATACTTCTATAGCTGAGGCCTACACGGCAAAAACGGAACAAATAGGAGACAATCCGCCAGAGACGATATTTGTTCTTTTCACGCCAAAAAACTCCGAAAAAGCTGAACCATTGCACAAATGTGGTGGCGAATTGCCTGATGACAGTGATTTTGATCCAGAAGCCGATACAGTTCTTGTTGCGCATGGTTGGTTGGATGGGATCTGTAGAACAGCTTGGCAGAGAGTAAGATCCAAATTTTCTTGCATTTTTTAAATGCTTATTAAGCATATTATAGGGAACAATGTCAAGCCAAAAGAAAAGACGATAAATCAGATTTAAGAACTTGAAACACAATGTGTACAATCTAGTGCACACTTTTACGAATCAATTTTCTGATCAGACAGTGAGAAATATAAATGACAAATACCGTCGGAATAATCCTTAAAAATTTTCATACCCGTGACGTCATTAAAATTTTAATTTCTAGCAGAAAATACGACTGTTAAGGCTTTATTATTTTTATTGATGTTTAAGGATTAACATTCAGCATAAACATTACTTTTTCTTTAAAAAAAATCAAAATATCCTTAAAAATGAAATTTTAACCTCCTACAAAACTTTTAAGGAAAGCAGATGAAAAGTGTGTGATTTATTTGGATTTATTACTGTTATTCGAAAGCCATTATTTATATACATTAGTTCTATATTGCTGTTTAAAAACGTTTTGTAACCGAATATAAAAAACTTCAGTTTTTAATAATTCATAATAAACCCTCAAATGAGACACTGGATTTAAAGACTATTTTTCAAATAAAATACTTCATGCTTAATAGTTTTTTGTCCAACACCCAGGCATAAAAAAAAACATTTAAATAATTTTTTCCCCTTTTATTTCCAATGAGTTGCACGAGTGCACACACATGAGCAGACCTAGTGCGTTCTCCATAAGTGGCATCCCCTCTTTCAGAACCACCACAATGGGTGAGATACCGTTGGCCATGTTAATTTGGACGTATAGTTTCTGCCACACTAGATGGCAGCACCGAGACTCTTATTCGGATACTGAAGTGCACTAGGAATTTTAATTTTGCCGGAAGTGCCAAGAGCCATTAAGACACTCCAGGGATCTTTTACATGCCGCATAATCATACGACATGGCCGCTGAGGATTTTCTGCATCCCAAAAATCCAGTGTCTGAGCCGGGGATCGATCCCGGGCAGAGCTGCACTATTGACGACCGTTGGTATTTTACCTGGAAAAGTGTCTATGATTTTCCAAGCAACCTGTTTCCTTTTAGGCTTCATTCCAGTGAGAAAACATATCATTATGCAGATTAATAGCATATTCATTATTCATTAGACAACATAAAGACAGTAGATTATTCATTAGGCAATTCGTCTGAATTAGTTTTTGCTGTGTTTAGTGAGCCAGGAGTAGTGAGAGATTATTGCATATACCCTTATTGAAAGTTTATTGCTGTAAGTCTAAGCAAATTTAGTATGGAGAGTAAAACTTTACTAATTTCTTACTTAGTCTGCAGGTTTATAAGCTAACTGTAATTAACCTAAAAAGTTGTCAGGCACACTAAAAAAATAATTTAAAAAATACACAGGTCATTTTAAATATTGCATTTGCACTTAAATATTGCATATTGCATTTAAATAATGCATATTGCATGTCATTTTAAATATTGCATATTGCATTTAAATATTGCATTTAAATATTGCATATTGCATTTAAATATTGCATATTGCATTTAAATAATGCATATTGCATATCATTTTAAGTATTGCGTATTGCATTTAAATATTGCATATTGCATTTAAATATTGCATATTACATTTAAATAATGCATATTGCATATCATTTTAAGTAATGCGTATTGCATTTAAATATTGCATTACAATATTTGCAAAGATCCAGATTCTTCAATTAGCCTTTAACCCGTCATGATGGCCCAGGGGATACAGCGTTCGCCTTCCAATGAGATGAACCGGGTTCGAGCCCCAGCAATGGCTGGTCGATACGAATTCCTCATCCGGCTTGCACCGACTACAGTGCTGACACAAAATACCCTCAGTGGTAGACGAGTCATGGGTTAGAGTACCCTTGCCGTCAGGCTAACCGTGGAAGGTTTTCAGGGGTTTCCTCACCGTGTAATACAAATTCAGGTTAGTTGCATTAAAAAGTCCACCACGAAGACAAGTTTCTCCTAAAAGTTGATCCAGGAATTCCTTTGCCTTCTGGATTAGGTTCAAAATTACAAGATTACGGAGTTTAAAATTAATAGCCGTAAACCCAATATTAGGTTTGGTATACATAACGTATACATAATACGTATATTTTATGTATACGTGCGACGTATACATAAAAATTCATCTGTCAAGAATTTGGGACATCACTTCCAACAGTATATGCTAGTTTTACTACGAGCAATATTTTGAATCACGTGATATACTAACGTCGTGAATCCGTGAATAGGCAGCATTTTNTTTTTTTTTTTTTTTTTTTTTTTTTTTTTTTTTTTTTTTTTTTTTTTTTTTTTTTTTTTTTTTTTTTTTTTTTTTTAAGCAAGTTTTCTTTTTAAAATGTCGTTATTAGAATTCTTTCCCTTAGTTTTTTTCCTTCTTAACTTTAAATTTTTTTGCGAATTCGGTGAAGACTAAGCACCATATGAATAACTCCTAACTCTCTACATTTACTTTCCATTACATTTGCATTTACAATGCCATCGTCTAATGTCTTCAGATAGTTTACTTTTTATCTCTCATATTTTCTATCTACAGAAAATAAAATAGAATCACTTTTTTAGGAAATAAAAACGCAACTTTTTATAAGAGGAAAGTACAATGTTGTTCTCGTCGACTGGACATGGGGCAACACACCAGATCTAGCAGCAGCGGCTCAGAACTCTCTCGTCGCAGGCGAACAAGCAGCTTTTGTTATTCAAAATATCATGGTATGTTACTATTAAAAAATCTATAAATAAAAACTATAAGATAAAGGAAATAAATCAAAACATGAAAAAATGCCAAATATAGACGAAGAAAATAAATTGAAAGGAAATATTATGACGATTATTTACAAACGAGAGGAAAAAGAGAATTATAAAAGAGAGAGAATTACTAATGAGAAATCTGTAATTGCAGTTAAGTGATTAACCATTAATCAATTTTTTTACAACCTTACTTTAGGAAAACGTGGTAGCAGAATAGATTTTCATAAATGATACAACATTTCAAGTCATGGTTTGCAAAAACTACATCAACTGATGTTTCTGTTGACCGGCCTGTGTAGGGGGTAGGGAACTGTCCTTGCATCAGAAAGGTCCTGGGTTCGAATCCCGGGCAAGGCATGGATGTTTATTTCGCTCTCTGTGTGTACTATGTCCTTTCTCCTTTGTGTGTGAATGTAACCCGCCCTATAAACGGGTTGTGGTTGTGTGAATGGCGTGGCAGAAGTCGAATTCCTGGCCATAGATGGCGCCACTGAAAACAGGAACAATCGCACCCCCACTGCCTAAACAGGCATACGACAAAAAAAACTGATATTTTTCCTCTAATTTGTCCAGTTATGGGATTGATTTTCAATTTCAGCCCATTTCAGTATCTTAATACGTTACAACTGTTTTTAAATTTCAGAACTCAGCTTTTAAAGTATTCAGCATTTAAAAAAACGATTTTTTCCAAAATTAAATTTCTCAGGAACTATTCAACTAATTTCGCTCAAATTTGGCCATTTTCCATTAAAAAGTGAATTCTTTAAAATGACGCAAAAGTTTCATGCTTTACAATTCAAACATTTTTCGAATTTTTCATTTTATAATAGTCAAAACACTATTATTAAATAAAAGAATTAGAAACAGTAACCCTTTACTGCTACAAATAGTATGGTAGGGTATTCCGAGAAATAATACTTAACCTTAAAAATACTAATTATAGCGTGGTTATTGCAGGATAATTGCCTCTCCTTATAAATGTATATCGGACAGTGACATTTAACCTTAAAACACATTAGGGTGGAGTATATCAGGTAGTGGCGCTTAACTTTAAAAAAGAAAAACATTAGTGTAGGCCAGAGGTCGCCAAAGTGGTCTATATAGACCCCCAGGGGTCTATTTAACAAAAGCGGGGGTCGATCTGAGACAGGGGGGCGAATGGGGGTCGATCCGAATCGGAAGGGTCGATTGTGGGTCGAAAAAAAAAAACAGTTCTCAATACGCAAATCACGCATGCCTAATTAAGTATGTGAAATTTGTGATTTTTTTTTATAATTGACTCAATATCAGTTTCTTTATAAAACATAAATTAATAAACGTATATTTATTGGGGTGAAACAAGTATTTACGTACCACCGCGCAGTGGCACGAACTCAGCGCAGTTTATAAGTCATATGCATATGTGCGCTTGTCCAAATGTCACGTGTGACGAGCATTGACGTTACAAATGCAAATATCATACGCAGTTTCAGCTATCTTTGCAAACTGTGTTGAATATTTGCAGTGTCATTATTAAAACTTTTATAGTTTTGGATAATTAGTTATTGTTTCGATAAAACCATTCGTTTGGTTTAGATATCAATTTTAATTATCAATGCACAAAAAAGAAGGTAAGCATTAATAATATGGATTAGTACAGTCCGCGACAAAACTATAGCACACTTTGTATTTTTTTACAAAAATTACAAAATTGACCAATTTTGACGAAAATTAAAATTGACCAATTTTGAACCCAATATAGCGAACCTTGCAAAAAAATACCAGACACACCCATCTCATTGATTAAGAAGCAATAAATCTGTAGTGACTTATTATTTCTACTTGCTTATAATTACTTACTATTTAATAAATATTAAGGTATTTAAATTTCAACATTAATATATTTTTCATAAAACTATTGTTTCACAATGTACTATTACTTTAATAAATGTTTAAAATCATAAAATAAATGTACAAACACAGTATCTAATATAGTTTTATTTTAATTAACAGAAAATTACTTTTGCGGGGGTCGATGGAGATTTCGAAAAATTATATAGGGGTCGATGACCAAAAAAGTTTGGCGACCCCTGGTGTAGGCTATATCGAACTTCCAGGCAGTGGCACTTGATTTTTTTAAAAAAAAATTATAACAGTATCGGGCAAACCGGGAAGGGGCACTAAAAGAGTCAAATTAAAGAAACAAATTCAACTATTAAAAAAATTAAATGTCTTTTGCATAAATAGATCGCGTATTGGAATATTTCGCATACGATTTCGACAATATGACTCGTGAAGGTTTGAAATATTTATAAGAAATTGAATATTTTTAATAAAATACGTAAAATGTAAGAAAATAATATAATTAGCTTATTTTATCAGTGAGGTCATTCTTTAATTTAATACTTAAATGGCTTTAACAGGCAGTCAAAATAGGGATTAATAAAAAAGCTCCACACAACAACAAAAAAAAACGGAAATTGAATAATACTCGTCCGGATAGCGTTGGTCAAAAGTAATTAGAGAAGTTATGGTTGCAAGCAAAGTTGCAGGATATTGAGGTTCAACAAATCGATTAATATTAAACATATTTGACATCAATCGCTTTCTTTTTCTTAAAGTGGTTTTAGAAAAAAGAATTTTTTTTTCCATCTAGAATAGAACTGGTATAAAAGGAGACAAGTTTCATCTCATTGGCCACAGTTACGGTTCGTATTTAGTGGGTATGGCAGCAAAAGTCATCAGAGATCAAAATGAAGAAAACATAGTTCGAAGGTTGACTTGTAAGTAAATATTTAAAAAACACTTTGCATCAAGTAAATTTGGCAGTGTAGTAGAAATCACAAAAGATAGTTGTTGTTATAGTTTATTTATTTCGCACTGAAGCTACTCAATAGACTATTAACGGAGGTCTGGAAAGATTCCCGAGGATGACTCAAAGATGTGCCATCACAATTTTGATCCTTTGCAGAGGCAATGGCACCCTATTGGATGGTTCTAATGCCACTTGCTAACGGGCAAGCCTGCTTGGTGAAACCGGCAGAGTGTGCGTTTCGTGTTTTTCAGTAGCGCCATCTATTGCCAAGAATACGACTTCTTCCACACCAAACGTCACATCCGTTTTATAGGGCGGACCCATTCGTACATCCATTCATTCATCCACAGATCGTAATTTTGACCTGAATCAGAGAACAATCGATCTCCAATTCAATACCCCCATAGATATTGATTTGTTATGGGGACATGGAGAACTTTTGTGACTCGACAGATTTAACGTGCATCATTTACTTTACTACACGGGGAGTGTTCAGCCGGTGGGGTTCGAACCCACGAACTCTCAGACATGGGCCCATCACCCTACCGACCAGGCTATCCCATCCCTGACACCCTCTTTGATTGCGACGTCTAGCGTTTTAAGGTAGAACAGCTTAACGCGGACCAATACCGTACGCACTCGGTCCCTTCGCAGGTTGATCGAGGAGGTCATCCACTCGCACACTGACCGCAGCTAGTGATGCTTGACTTCGCTTACCTTCTGAGGACCGTTCCATAGAGATCAGTCCAGTACATAACTACAAAAGATAATGTTGCAGCAAAAAAACTGTAGATCTTTGATATCAGATTCTTGATTTTAAATAGTTATTACTAAATATAAATTAAGTTGGAATTTGAAATTTTGTTTTTATAATTAGTGCAAAATGATAGCTATGTAGCTATTATCTATTTAAAATTTCATTTAAGTTTAAATAATGCAGGGTGACAAGGAATAACTGGAGCATACAATAAATCAATTTTATTGCTAACTAAGATGTAACAAACTAGCAAACCAATTTTTCAAATAGTTTTTTAAACATTTACATTTCAATAGAAAACGCCTTTGAACTTCAATAGACATATAAATTGATCTCTGATTATTTTTAATCTACTATTTTGATTTAATAGGCATAGGTAATGATGAGCCTGATTTTAATACAGGGTTATTTAATTCCCTCCGCCTATAAACGCCATTTTTCTTTACTACAACTGGCTTCAGTGGTACATGTTACTGCCATCTACCGGCAACTGCTTGAATTAAAACTTGAATACTTTCGGAATAATTTCATATGTTCTTTTTTGCCATATTCGTCTTCGTTTTTTTAATATAACGCTTCGTAACCCCGGAGGGAATTATGAATAACCCTGCAGAAATTTCCTCTCTTGATAATTTGCGATTCTTAATTTGTTTAATTTCCTTCTTAATAAGGATTGCAAAACGCTTAATTAATTACAATGATATAAGTGATATTTTACTATTAAATCATTAAATCATGCTCAGGGAACAGAGCGTTTGCCTTCTAATGAGGTGAACCGGGTTCAAATCCCAGCAATGGATGGTCGATATGAATATGCATCCAGCTTGCTCCGACCACAGTGCTTACATGAAATATCCTCAGTGGTAGACGGATCATGTGTTAGAGTTTCCTTGCCGTCAGACTAACCATGGGCAGTTTTTGTGGTTTCCTTGAGCGGTTAGTTCTTTCAAAAAGTCCTCCAGGAAGGCAAATTTCTGCCAACACTTGATCCAGGAGTTACCTTGTCTTCTGGATTGGATTCAAAACTACAAAGATACGGAGTTGAACATTGGTAGTCGTGACGAAAAATTGGGTCGGCTGTTTAACGACGGTTATGATAGTTATGAAATAAAATAAAATCATTAAATTTCCCGAGGGAGTCATTATATTTTATAAAATCAGAAAAAAAACGCGCCGTGGTAGCCCAGTAGTTAGAGGTTAATGAGAGAAATTAGAGGTTAATTAGAGAGGTTAGAGGTTAATTACTGGTAAAATTAGGGAATTTTATTGACACTACTGAAAAAGAACAAGAACTTTACATAAAAAAGCTATATTATTTGATAGAATTTCTCTTTAATACTACAAAGTAGTCCGTCATAGTTTATTTGCAAATTCTGTCATGGTTATTATATCTTATTTTTCAAAGCTGTTTCTCTTTATCGATATTCGCCAAGCTTGTTTTCATCCAGTTCTTTTTCTCTTGGATTCAGTTCTAGATCCAGGAGCGGTTCCTGCCTCCAAAGAAGATATTAATAATGGAAAACTATCATATAAAAATGCCAAATTTGTGGACGTTATTCATACCGGCGGAGGAGAATGTTTTCGTGAGTACTAATCCAGAAAAAAAAAAGAGATTTTGAAATGTGAAAGAAAACTGTCAACTTCTATTATGCTTTGTAAAGTTGCCTTGTGAAAAAAAAAACAAATCTGGTAAATATCTTTTTATAAAAAGGAAAAGTCAATATGAAGGATTAAAAAAGCAATGTTATATATGAATGAAGAAGAAATATGAACAAATGATTTTGAACCGAACTGACAGCGAGTTAAAAAAATTATTAAATTTGAAAAAAAAAATTAATTTAATTGCAAAGTAGGTCTACGAGCAATTATCTGCAGCAAATTGCGTATTAAATTTTTATGATTATTACAAGATTTTGTTTCTTATAACTCATAATAATTTTATATGTTGATTGTATTTTAAGATTAAAAATTTTTTCTTCTCATGGTTAATGTGCTTTTTACCAAAGGAAAGTATTACAAATAGACAATATTTTTTCTAAAAATTCTTAGATGGTAGCTAAATTTTTTAGGGAGTGGGGATGTAACATAAAAATCCTCTTTTTTTATTTCGTAATCTAAATTATTTTTAATTTATTTGACTAAAATAAAAATACAGAAAAAAACATGGAAAAAATGTAAGGATTTTTAAAAAGAGTAGAAGAAAAGTTATTAAACTAAAATATTTTAAAGAAGTATTTAAAAATTGAAAAAAGAAACAATTAAAAAGCAGGAAAACAAAATGAGGAAAAGGTATAATCTCGCCATCAGCTCACACGATTATTTCCACAAAAAAAGAGATTTATTCTAATATTTTATTAATACAGCCAAAGCAAAATATATCAATACTAAGGACACTTACACTTTTTTTTTGGATTTAAAATAGTTTATTTTATTCATCTTCTCTTTTAAAAAAAATCTTCATACTTTCTGTTTCAGCTGTTCTTAATTTAGGAATAATTAACCCTATTGGTCATGTGGACTTTTATCCCAATGGTGGAAGAATTCAACCAGCTTGTTTAGAATATGGTATTTCCACACTTTTAAGATTAGATGTGTATTACGGTAAGTTCGCTGAAATGAAAATTATTTCAGATAATTACTTTAAATTTGAATACGAAAATTGAAAAATTCTCATTTCGGAAAGTTTAAAAAAGGCTCATTCCACTTATGAATTTCAAACGATTTAGGAGTCTACCGTCCATTATGTTTCCGTTATGTTCCATCTAAATGTTCTTATTATATTTTGAAAGCAAACGAACAAGGTAAAATGTTGAGACTTTTCATCCAAGTTCCGTTGAGATTGCAATGAAATTTTTTTTTAATGAAAAATATGTTTTTTTTTTAAATTTATTTAAATAACTTTTTTTAATGAATTTATTTAAGAATTGAAGACTTATTACGAGCCTTTTTTAAATATTCCAATCTGTTCGAAAGTTTTTGAATTTTTTTCGAAACTTTTTCTCCATTTTTTGTCTACGTTACATTTTGTTTTTCTAAGCAAAATTTCTTAGATTTGAAACTTGTAATATCAAACACGTTTATAAAATGTACAAGAAATTCAATGGATAAAAATAAAATCAAGACTAATATTCAAGTTCTTGAGCAGTTAAAATTAATATTAACTGTTAAACTTGCAGTCGAAAAACTATTTTGGGCAATTTGCTGCCTAATGAAATACAACTACAGATTTGAAATATAAAATGTTGATAGCACTATTTCTAATCGCAAATTTAGGGCGAAATAGTTTTTTTATATTATGATTTACTCAAAAGCTATTGCTATTTTATATCATTAGAATCATTACGAATAATAATTATTGAAAGCCTTGAACAATCAATCAAGGTCAGTCGTTTTGAGCTAAAAAAAGGTTGCTTAAGAAAGAGCACGAGCAGCTCTACTAATTTGCAAAATGTGACTGCGTTAAAATGCTTAAATTATGTCTGTTTTAAGATGACATAAACGAAAAAGAGGTCAGAATTTTGAGGTTTTTAATGTTATTTTTACTTCGAATTTTCTAGATCTCTAAAATAAATAACGCAATTAAACGGTGGTTGACGGCGTGCAACCTATCGGCCAAACATGTCTCATACATGTTCTATGGAATTCAAGTCTGGTGATAATGCTGGCCATTCATATAATCTCAGATTGAAGGAATTCGCTTCCGATGTTTTCTCGGTGAGGACAAGTGTCGTTGTCCATAAACACAAATCCTGCGCCGTGGGCACCCCTAAACAAAGGGACACGTTGTTCCAGTAGGATGTCCCGATAAGTTTGGCCAGCCGTGGTTCCAATTTGACCATGCAGATCTATTCAGGAGCCCTTTTATATTTCCACCTAAAACGAGCAATCCTGCACCACCAAATCGGTGTCGTTCAATCATGTTGTCTTGGTGGTGACGGGTATCTGGTGTTCTCCATATGAAAGTCCAACGTGAATCAGACTGTCACAATAGCCCTCTGTGAACATGTATAGTTTGTTCACCAGGAGTTGGCACTTGGCACCACCACCTCGGACGCAGAGTTCATTTCAGCTCGGGTGAGTAAGAGTAAAAACATTTCCCCGCTTGAAATCGAGATAACCTCTAATGCGCGCAAAGCCACCACACGATTTTTTATAGGTAGTCTGATCAGACCACTATGAAGGCAAACCAGTTTACGAGAGAGCTTAGAGCCCTTTAATAGAAAATCTAGTGAAAATAAGAAAGTGGTAGCAAATATATGCCAAATTTTTTTTTTAAATCTTTGAATATGATTAGTTTGTCTTATTTACTTGTCTACCAATACAGATTTCAATTTTCAAATATATATGACAAATTCTTCTCAGTCACTCTTAAAATAGAATTTGGTTTCATGCGCTCAAACTGTTCACTTTTTAAATAGTCTGAGAAGACTACTTATAAGAAACCTTGTGGAGGCTTTCTGATGTAGAAGGTGATGGCCAAACACAAGCAGTTAATTCTTTTTCAGTCACTTACTTCGCTTTATCATCAGCTTTTAAACCCTTCGTTATTCTAGCTACTACATGTTTAAAAACTTTTTCCCACCAAAATATCTCAAAAAGAACAAACTATTCAATAAAAAGAGAGAAATATCAACAAGTTTATGAAATAAAATGCATATGTTCAAAATATGCACATGAAGATTGCGAAATAAATATTTTTGTCAT